TCTCTCTCTCTCTCTCTCTCTCTCTCACACACACACACACACACACACACACACAAATATTCCCCTGCCAAGCCATACATGCACACAATTTCTCCCTCCAAGCCATACTCACATACTCCCCCTTTCAGTCACACACTGGGCTGCTACTATTCCCTTTCACAAGAAATCATGTGCTGCCCCCAACCTGGGGTGAGCACAGCTTGCAGAGCACTGCAGAGGTAGCCCTGCGGGGTTGCTGCTGCCGTACCCAGCTAAGCATGCTGAAGCCCCACTATCCCTTCTCCCCCTGTCTTCACAGCCCCTCCCATCCTGCAGATAGCACTACAGCTGGAGGTGGGGTGGGGGTGGGGGGAAATTAGGGGAAAGAGGCTGTAGACAGGCAGCCTCTCTCCAGTAGATTGGCTTCAGTCTCCCCCCCACCCCGACCAAACAGCAAACTGTTGTGTGTGGGGGATGGGTGGGATCACTCTAATTCATGGCACTTTCTGTGAAGCCCCATGAGTTAAAGCTGGGATCTGCATGTCTGTCAGTGCCCCCCTGTTACACATAGGTATTGGATATACATTACTCAAATGCAACAGTAAGGACTCGGAGGCATCCTGCTTTCCTTCCATACAACGAAGACTGTAGCTAGACCCAGAGCAGGAGAGAATGTATGCAGCACCAATTGCACCCATATATATGTACTTTCCATATATTCTTAAAGTGCCGATGCTCAACCTTTTTCCCTGGCGGACCAGATGGGCAGCACCTAGTCCAACTGCAGGCCAGACAGTGGTTCTGATCCAGTGCCCAAGACCAGTGCAGCAGCCACCATCTGGCCACACAGAGAGGGGCAGAGGGCATCCTGGCCTGAACCCAGCTCCATGGGGGCAAAGGGCCTTCACTGCATGGGGGAAAAGGAACACCATCGAACCCTGCAGGAGGAAGGGGGTGTGGCCTGGCCCAACAGAGTTGGGGGGGAAGATGGAGGGGGCATGTCCTGGCCCCAACCCAGCCACAGGGTGGGGAAGGGGACATGGCTTAGCCTCATGGGGAAGGGGCATGGTCTGGCCCCAGCCTGGCTTTGAGGGAGGGAAGGGGGCATAGCCTGGCTCTGACTTGGCACTTCAGGTTTTGGAATCTGGTAGGGGGGAGAGTGTCCATAATAACAGCCACTGCTTCCCTACCATCACATTTCCTGACCTGTGAGGAGCCTGGGGGCCTGATGTGATGGCTCTGTGGGCTTAATTTGGCCAGCGGGCCAGAGGATGAGCTTCCTTGCCTTAAAGCATTCTGGTTGCATTAGAAAGCACCTGGAAACAGACACCAGTTTCTTCATCCAACCCCTTCAGTGCAGAAGGTGGCTTGAATTTAAAACTTTGCTTTCTTTCTGTCAAGCCTGGTAAGAGAGAATCTTTAGCTAGAAAATGAAGGTGTTCTATGCCGCACTCTAAATAAAACAGTATCTTCTCCCATTTCAGGATTGTATATTTTAATGCTGAATTCACTGCAAAGGTGCAATAAAATATATGGCAAAAATTAAAATCCTTCCCATGACCTGACAAGTATTCAATAAATTGAACTATTTTAGGCTTCACACATATTGAGGCAACGTCTAGGGCAGAATATTTTATGAAGTCCTTATGCTTCAACTAGCTGTTGGTCAGGAAACCAGAGAGACAGAGGAAGAAATATGGTAACTATTTATAGGAAATGTGAAGAGATAGCCTATATTAAGCAGAGCAAACAGTAAGCAAACCCCAAAGGGCACAGAAAGATGATATGATACATCACACGTGAAAGCCAAAATCATTAGCTTGATTATGTGCAGTGTTTAGCACCTTCACCTTCCATTTAATTCAGTGGGTGTTACAGCTGCTCAACACAAGGCAGAATGTGCTCCTAATTCTCAGACTGGATGGAAAAAACATTAATGGCAGATATCTTCTCCAGAACAGAAACATGTGATGTGGCATACAACATAAAGTGTTTGAGCATTGCTGCCAGATGTGTTGCTCACTGTTTGCCTCATACCCTGACAAAGCACTTCCTTGTATAAGAAATATTTCATAACTGATCTTGGAGCCAATACTGCAAGTAGGTGAGCAGCCTCAGTTCTCACTGATCTCAGAGTGAAACACCTATGCAATCACCAGTGCCTAAGGACTAGCAGTCCTGGGCTTTTCTATGCAGAAAAATTCAGAAAGACTGGGGGAAAAGTCCTTTCTAGATCTGGATAGATGGTGCTGATAGGCAAGATTGGTGCATTTCCTGTCAGCCATTTAATCATTCACGTTTTGCAGCTATTTAAGATGTCCATTTCATCCTTCTCCTCCTCCCTTGTTCCTCCCAATCAAGGTACCTGTCCTTCACCCAGCATAGTGTTTCATCTTTGTACCACCTGCAAGAGATGAAGTGGGAAATGTCTGTACAACAGCCCTGCCCCTTCAAGTTTCTCTACAATGGCCCTGCCCCCTGCAGAATGGCATCCTAGCCCTTCCTAGCCATCTGTTAGGAAGCTAGATAAAAAGCAGGAACTGAGAAGCAGCACCTATAATAGAAAAGTAAGTATTCAAATAAAATAATAATAAAAATGCCACTAGACTAATGTTACCAATGAAAGTTCTTCACCCTGCTCTAATGGGGAGTAGAACAATTGCAGCATATCACTATCACTGAAGTCTGAACACAGACTTATAGAATGAAATGAATAAGTTTGAAATGATTTCTTATCTATAACAGTGGGCCCTAAACAAGAAGCTTTGCACATTCACATTCACTGCTTTGGGAGTTTCTGGAACCTCCTGGCACCTATGTCTGGTGGTCTGCAGAAATCCACTTCATGACATGAAGCATTCAGCACCCACTATAAACAGAGGTGTAACTTCCATCCCTGACAGCAGTTTGTCTGCAGCAGTAAAAACATTAACTGCTCTATCTGTTTGTTAGACATCTGAGGGGTTAAGACATTCTCTTTTGTAATTAGTTATACTGCAGGATATAATTACCCTCTAAATCTGAACTCAAATTTATGCAATAAAATGCTTATTCTCAACTTGTTTTTGGACAATATTTCTACTTAGTGGGCACATCTACACATGCCCCTGACTGCATATTTGGTACTGTGCAGTTATTTAGTGCTTTAGCAAGTACTAAATGACTGCACAGTACCCGCCAGTACTGCACAGTCCCTGTGGTTCATGGTTTTTAGATGCTACTTCAGTATAGCGATGAGCTATGGCAATGTAGCATTGGCATTAGGGTTTGTACCTGCTGATGCTACGTCGCTGTAACAATGAGCCCAGTGTTACTCTTTTTAAAAATGTTACTTAATTTTTAATTTAAGAATAAGGACTTACAGACTCCATAACAACTCTTGGAACAAAAAATACTTTGAAGAAAGAATAAAGACTCAGAAGGAGAATCAGGAAAACCAAGAAATATTTAGAAGAAATAACAAAGGCAAGCCATATTATTTTGGTAAAAAAGTGCAAAGTGTTGATGTGTTTTCAGCAGCAACATAAAAAAAAATGCAGACCCCACCACAACAAATCAGTTTTGTAATACAATAGACTTTCGTCCTGAACTAATAAATGGGACCAAGCATTATGTAAAAGGAAAAGAAAATTTAAGTCAATTAAAATAAGTAGCACTGAAGTTACTACAAACACACAAAATATTTTACCAGTGCAACCATCTTGTTAATTTGCCCTTCTATTGTGTTCCTGAATCAAAGGGCCCATTAATACTGGCTAAATAACATGCTACAATTTGTAGGAATAACAGGGATTAACAAAGAATACATGGCAAGTTTTTCCTCAGCTTTCGGGGCATCTTCACACATGCTCCAGGGGTCAGGGGAGGGATGCTTTAAATACAGCAGCTCCGAGAGCCACTTTATTAAAGCACCCTCAACTTCTTACATATTCAGTGTCCCACACTTCAAAATGGCAGTGAGGGCACTAAGTAGAGCTTGTTTGATGAGCTTTAGTTAAAGCACCCCACTGCCATTTTGAAGCATAGGGATGCTGAATACATAAGATGTGGAGGCTGCTAGAGCATGCTAAGTAGCATGATCCAGCGGACTTGATTAATTAAGTCTGCTTTGATGCACTGTAATTACAATGCATTGGAGCAGTGTCCCTGCATGTCTACAGGCACCCTCTGAGATTAAAGTTAAAACTTCAATAACATTTCAAGAGTTTATTGGCCATTCCATTGGGCCTGAGCATGTCAAGAAATAATATAGTTAGAGTTTGTGTATCCCAAGGAGTATGTAACTCAAATTTTATTATTAGCAAAGGAATTTTTTCCTTGGTTCTTGACATAATGCATCTATACTTTCTTAGCACTGAGTCACAGTGACCTTCTTCAATAGAAGAAAAAAAAAGACTCCTCTTTCTAGTCTATTCAGTATTGTTTCCATATCAGCCAGAAGGGTTGCTTCAGGGCAATCTAAGGAACTGTGTTCCTGAATGAACTGCCTCCATGAAATTTTCAAGCTCTAGGAAAAGAGCTTAGGTCTCCTGCATAGCAATGAAGAGAAAAAAAAACTTTTATGAGTTATAAAAGCAAGGAAAAAAGTTACAAAAGACATAACCACTTACCTCTGCAAGCAGATCATGTAGTTCCGCCTCACTTGGGCAGCAACCTAATGACCTTATGATTGTACCAACTTCTCTGTAAAAGAGAGTATCTGTCAGCATATCTATAGAACTGCAGCACATGTGAAAGATCCAGCCATCAATCCAGAGTAAGTATGCATGTATGTGTGGGTGCATGGGTCTTTAGAATTAGGCCTAAAAAACTAAGGGCCAGATGCAAAAGCACTTAGGTGCTTAAAGTGCAACCTGCACAGAATTTAGGCACCTAAGAACAAGACCTACACAATCTCCACCTAAACACTTAAATGCCAAGGTAAGCTTTTGCCAGAAAAGTTACTTAGGGTGTCCAGAAGCACTGCCATTTGGGGCAAGCTGAGTATTTAGCTTGCTGTACCCACCGACTGTTTTAGAGTCATGAACAAGACATCCCTGTGCATAAGTCCATTGCAGGGCCCCATCTTGTAAGACTGAGTGTTCCCCAACATTACTGAGTTCAGCATAACACTTTTACAGCAGCCATAGTCACTTCAATTGAAAAATAATGGCTGGGGTGGAGAGGGTGACTAACTTTATAGTTTGTACTAAAGCCCTCACTCAGGCACTGGAAAATCTGGGTTATATACCTACCTCCATGTGTGGTTCCAGGATTTTACGGAAGCAGCAACCAGCACTGCAGTGGTGGTTTCACCCCCACTCCCAATGCTCCCAATGGCAGACCATGCTACGGAAGCAGCAGCCAGGGACATTTTTTAAGTTCCCAAATCCAGTAAGAATCCTCCCCAAATCTCAGCAACTCCTACTTTGCCCTCTGTGCTCAGCAGCACGTGCTCTCCTCTCCCATTCCTCTCTTCCCCCTCTCTATTTATAGCGGAGGGTGGTGAGAGCAGGGAAATTTTTACCTTTTGAGGGGACTTAAAGTCTCTGGCTGCTGCTCCTACAGATTGGCCCAAATGGGCAGATGTGACCACTGCATCCACTCTAGTTCCAGCCTTGCCTATCTCAGTCTGAAGGGGTTCAAACTGACAGCTCTGACCACCAAAAAGGGTGCCATAGCCACCAGACTAAAAGGAAGAATTGGTTAGAGATGTCTGGTATTAATCAAATTAAATGTGCTTTTTGTAGGACAAGCTTTGCAAAAAACCACAAGAAAAAACCTCTCCGTAATTTATTCTGAGAAGGGAACAATATCATCTTATTGATACTGTCTTGTAAACTTCGCATCTTTGTGTTTAAGAGTCAGACAATACTGTTGTTGGCCCTGTCAAAGTAAGTTCATCGTCCCTCTTCAAATATATCCAATGTTCTGAAAGATAATATTAATAATACTTTTACAATCTGGGTTAAGACTTGTGTTGTACTGCCACCTTCTGACACAATAAAATAATATATTATTATAATGTGAGAAAACCTTGACATGAAAGAAATAATACATGTGAAACCAAGAAAGGATAAGACACCAAATCCTCAGGATGTTTTTTTATGATAATAATTTTGATTCAAGGTGGTACATTTATTGGGTTTAAAGGACTTTCGAACTTTACTTCTCACATCTTATGGTCTCAATAAAGAGGTTGTGAAAGAAAAGTTTATTCACCCAATTTAGTTGTTTCAACATTTTCCCTAAGATACATTCCATTATGCAATAAAATCAAGATTGAAGCAAATTTCATAGCTATTTAGCAGAGATTACAGAAGCAAATGACAATTGAAATAAACAAAGAATAGATATAAAAAGAAAATGGGGCTCATTTAAAAGCTTTTTTCCATGTGAAGCAATGAAAGACATCAAGGCATAATCTGATTTTCCCCTGGTAATTTAAAATATAAAAGCACATACATAGACAGAAGTATGAGTAACAGATATATATGAGTATGTAGAGCCATACCCTGCTAATCTCCACATCCAGCAAAAAATGAAAAAAGACGTATTGTCTGCATACACCTTCTGCTAATGGATGGTAAACACGTACCCCATGCATGCAGCACTCAGGATTTTTGCCAGCAGCATCCATATGGCACACATCTGCCCTGACAGTGCCCGTCACTTCTGCACACCAGGGGCACAAAGGATGAAATGTGTCACCTGCACCTAAACTGCATCATCCAAGATGTAAATGACTCCAGGACAGGAGAGAGACAGGTCACAGAATGTATTTATAGGCCTCACATCTTGAAAAAAAACCCAGGCAGAAAAATCTGCACAGCCAGGCAATTTTTCATTTTCTTCCAAGTGATTGTACATGTGCATATTTGTGGCTCTTCAAAGATGAGGCAAATTTGTGGCAGTTCAAAGATGAGAACTCAGAGACTCACAAGAACAAAAACTAGAACATTGCCTTGTCAAATTTAGCATCAGCTCTAAAAACTTCAGAGACTGAACGTATGAATAGCATTCAGTTGACAGTTTTGCAGAATTCTGATATATATGTGTGTCAATGAAGTTGTAGACACTGGCTGAACTCTGGTAGAATAAACTCTTAACAATGATAGGTAGATGCCTTCTAGCATGCCTTTATATAGTCATAAATCCATTTCAGCAGTCTTTGAAAATGATTTGCCTCTCTTCCTTTAGCAATGATAGCAAAAAGCCTATGTGAGGACCTGAGCAGCTTCTTTCTTTGTAGATAGGGTGCTGGGGCACACATGATGTTGAGGCATGGAGAAAAGATTCTGTCCTAAATGTATACTATTTAGAGAAGAATATGGGAAAGTAAATTTGCTGATTCAGGTGGCATTCAGTGAGCACCTCTGGTAGAAGTTTGGGGTTTGTTCTTAGACTCTGTCTAGGCAAAAGACAACAAAGACTCCTACTCTCTTCATTGAGACAATGGTAGCCCGTGATGACATTTCCATTTATAAATAACAGTTGTCCACTGACACATCACCATCAGCACAAACAAGAGCAATGATAGCCAAAGGACTAAATTGAGGTTCCACAGTAGGATGAGGCTGTTGATAGATGGAAATCCTATTGTGCAAGGCCACACAGGTACTCAGAATTATTGTTGCTAGAGCCCCCACTATCACTAAAGTTGTGTACAGAAGTTACATTTTTCACGTGATGAGGCCCCCAAAAGCACTCTGTAGCTGTAACACAAAAAATGTTCCTGGCTGAAGAGAGCTTTTAAAATGACCAGTTGTGAAAATTTAACCCTTGCCTGATAAGATATTAAAAGAAGGTGCTCTACAGCAGTGTGCTTTAGCAAAGGTTACTTTCAGGTGATTCTGCCTGCATCCTATGTGCCTTTGTGCAGGACACTGCTCTAGCCTGAGAGAGGCAGAGCTTGTCTCCTCTGCCTGCCGGAGCACTGGGCCGGTCCCGCCCCCGAGCTGTCAGTGACAGCCTTTCATCCCAGCCTTACAAGAGCCATAGCTTGGCTGGAGGATGAAAAGGGGGGTGGTGTCTCTCCCTGCAGTGTCCCCAGGACATGGGGAGTTGGCAGCTCGGTCTGGGATAGGGGGGTCTCTCCCCCCTGTTTGCTCCCCCGGGACCAGGAGAGCAATCAGCCCAGCCAGGTGCACTGCAGGGGAGAGGGCTCTGTCTCCCCGAAGAGCACCCAGGACTGGGGGAGCCGACAGCCCACCCAGGTGTGCTATAGAAGAGAGGGCCTTAACGCACAGACCATGGTCAAGGACGTGGGGCCCAGGACACTGTTCCCCACACGGGGGCCACGGCTGTTCCAGACTCACTCCTCTGACACCTCATAGCCCCTGGGCCAGAGGCACAGAGAGTACCAGCCCTCCACCACCAGTCTTGTGGCTGTGGCACTAGCACAACCTGCATGACTCACGGCCAGCCTTCCCCCACTTGTCCTGATACCCAGCAGCCCAGGAAGGTATGGGTCGCCCCAGCTTTACACAGATGCAACTAGGACCCAGGGCCTGCAGGAAACAGAGCCCCAGGGAGAAGGGGAGGAAGGAAGGGGGCAGCAGGGGCACCCACAACTGATCCAGGCCACCCCTGTGGTCACAGCCCTCTCTCAGGACACTGTGGCTGAGAAGCCCAGAAAAGGGCTAGGGTGGGTTTCCTGGGGTGGTGGGGTGTGGGGGGTGAGTGATTCACCCTGCCATGCCCATTCACAGCACAGGGGTTCTGTCCTTCAGCACTGAGCAGAGCCCTCCCCTCCCTTTCCCTACCACTTCCCTCCCGGCCTGCAGCGCTGCCCAGGCACTATTCCCCTGCCCCCTCCCCAGTCCCCACCTCAGGTACTTAGCAGACCATCTCAAATTTAATGGGAATATAAAGTTGCCTAATTGCTACCTCCCTGCCTTACTTCTCAGAGCCATTCTGCCTAGACCTCTGGGCCATTCTGTGCTCCTGGAAAAAGCGAGTGTAACCCCAGCTGCCCCGAGCAGCCACACAGAACCTAGTTCCCTCTCCCCCAAAACAAGGATGCGTAAAGCAATTGTAGTGTTTGTTGAGCTCTAAAGGCAAGGTGTAAAAAGCAATTGCAGCTCTGGGTGCAGTTTGGTATGCTGGGGCTAGCATAGCCACAAGTCTGGCGGGCAGGCAGCACACTGAGGACAGGGACGTATGGGAGATAACACACAGCTGTCTATGAAAACCACAAGAACTCCCCCACACACAGTCATCCATTCCTCCCAAGTCCAAGAAAGGGACATATGTGATGGCAGGAGTCCTGCACTGGGGTGGGAAATCAACAGGCTGGGCAATCCTTACACCCGGGCTGTCAAGGTACAATAGAGGGCCATCGAGGCACATGAACAGGGACTCCAGATGGCCACCAGCTGTTTGGAGGAGACAAAATGAGTCACAGTGCCAGGAAAGGGAGTTTTTGCACATAATCCTGAACCGCTTGGCATCCCCATATGACACCCCTGACCAATGCCAGTGCTTTGTCCCATGGAGAACATGTAAGCCTCCTGTCCTCCCACCCAGGAGAGGTGGGGCAGGCTGATGCCAAGCCCCCCATGACATACTGAGCTATACTCCAGGGACCCTTCCCTGGGGTGACAGGAATAAGGTCCAATGGGGGAGACCCCCATATGGGGGCTGTGGGGGAACACTCCCCACCGTGCCTGACTGGACAGGAAACAGGGTGCAAGGAAGCCACT